CTTGAGAATTGTCGCATTGGGAATTCTCTCATCGCATTCCTTGGCACCACATGCGGCATCGGCTGCTGCTGTTGGTGGCCTGTGGTGCGGCAGCGGCTGCGGCGGCGACTGCAACTGCGACTCCGAGTCGCATTTGTATTCGTATGTGGCGCGAGGTCTTGACATTGTACCTTGAGCAGTGTCATGATTTGCTCTCGTCGGCGCTGTTGCCGCCTGTTGCTCATGTCATCGTCAAATGTAAATGAAAAGCTGCCAAATCAAATCAGAGCTAATTGTTTGCCGATTGTCCGAGTGTGTGTGTGTGTGTATAACAAGGCATGGCCAACATTAACGACAGCATCCACACCCTGTGGGCGTTGCACATAGACAGAAAACATTGCTGCTCCACATTTGCCAACGGCCGTGCACTGTTGACTCATCGAGGCCGGGAGAAGGTTTTCGGGGCAAGTACTAGCAACAAACTAATAACAACAACTCGCCACTCGAACTCGCCACTCGCCACTCGCCACTCGCCACTCGCCACTTGCCACTCGCCAGAGCGACTCGCAACGGCAACTACAAGCAAACACTCTAAGCCAAATTGCAGTTGCACAACCCAAACTATTGATAAACAGTATGTGACGCGCTTGACTGGCTGTTGCCACAGCAAAATTCTTGGCAAGGCTCAATCATGGCTGCAACTACCAAAGTGGCTTATTTCCAAGTATTTATTTCGAATTGAATTCATGAGCCCACAGCTGGGCCCATATATGATGTCAACGACATCTACTCAGTATTTAACACTGGAAATGTTTATCAAATCCGAATGCAAAGCTCATCAATTGCATTCGGCACCTTTGATCGGACGCCCACAGCACTCGCTGGCATCTAGCTGGATCGGTCGACACCATATAGGGTTTCAGCTCTTCGAGTTCTATGGCTCTATGTAGTTAGGATTTGCTCAGCAAAGCTCACATGCAATATTTTGTTCATGCGATTATTTTAAAAATAGAAATTACTTGTCATTGTAATATGAAATAAAAAGCTAAACAACTTTTTTTAATTGTTTTGCGATTGATATTCTAAGCAGCAATTGGTGATGTCAACAACTAGGTAAATACTAATATGTAGCTATCGGCAAGACTATGCTACTAGCATATACCCTGTATCCAGTGTCTTAGTCGTTAGCGAATTCTCAGAATATAAAAACACGATTAAAAAGGGTGTGATTAATGTGCTAATGCATAATCCTTGACATGTGAGAGTGGCCGACTATAAGATACCCTATGATATGCTAAAGAGCCCTCACACTATTCATTTTCAGGGTCATACAATAATACAATAGGCATAGTAGCCAAAAAGCCAAATCCTGGGGGACAATGATTGTCAAACTGCGACTCGCGAATGCGGCTTTTTGTGACTTATAGAATTGGGCGTAGCATTGCGATTTTTAGCTCGAATAGTTGAGACGACGTACATTGCGCAGAATCAGTATTCCCTCTTCCAATTTATGAACAGAGTACAATAATTCTCACATATTAGCATTTTGTTATAAATACGGCTATTAAGATTTGTTAAGTTTAATGTTTATTCCATGTTCAACAAAAGAGGCTATAAAAACAAAAGATATATATGCATATACATATATAAACTAATTAGTTATATAATTGAAGCTACAATAAACTGTGAAACGAATTGCCTTCATTTAAGTATTTCTTGCTATTTGAAAATGAAAGTTACTGCAGATTGGCTAAAAAATATTTGTTAGGATTACGCAAAATGTTCGATTCATACAAAATTTTTTTTTCTTTTTCTAAACATATTACTCATACGCCAGTTGGTCGGTTGGTCGGTTGGTCGGTTGGTCGATTGCCACAATTCGTTTTCTTAATCAATTAGCAGCTTTTTGTGAGTAAAAGCCTCTCTCTCTATCTCGCGCTCCCTCTCTCTCCCCCCTCTCTTTAAGGGCAAACGAGTTAGACTTCTGTGAGCATTTACTTGGTGCATTCAAGAACTTCTCAATTTCTAGTCACTTTCAAGATCATCAAATCATGGTTTTAGTTGCCTAATCAGCTGTCAGACTTTTTTCTGTTGCATGCCGCAATCTGTGCCACTGCCTGCTGTTTTTTTTTTGTTTTGTTTTGTTTTATGGCACTGTGTCATCGGTCTGGCAGCAGCACTCGCATATGAGCACATATATATGCAGATAGGGCGTCTGGCAGTCCGAAGTTATTCGAGTCCAAGTCCCTGACGGGCCACAGCGAAGCATTTCATGGCACGTCTCATGCCTCATGGCTTATATCTCATGCCTCATGCCTCATGCCTCATGCCTCATGCCTCATGCCTCATGCCTACAGTCTGCAGTCTACAGTCTACAGTCTACAGTCTACAGTCTACAGTCTTGAGTCTTGAGTCTAGTGTCTAGTGTTTGTGTCTTGTCATTTGCCATTTTTCACACTGGAAGCTGGCAGAAGGCGAACGCAAAGTACAAAGATAAACATTTTGCATGGCCATTGCTAAAACTCATATAATTACAAGAAGCTGTCGCCGGGCAGCCCCTGACAACAACTGCCAACAACAACAACAACAAAAGCAACAGCAACAGCAAACAAATGCAAAAATACAGTTGGCAAATTTGCCAAACAATGCAGATCGCTGGGCACGAAGTCGCCAAATGTCGCATTGATGGAACTTTTTCTTTTGTCGGCTGCGCGGCTGCATTTGCAGTTGCCCCATGCCCACCCCCGCTTACCCTCCGCCCGATCGTCTGGGGCTGCGGCCTGGCCAGTGTGGCAATTATGGGTCTCGACTCGTGCCACGCGTCCGCATTTACTGTACCACAAAATAATGTGCACTTTGCAGCTCAAATTGTTGCCGCCGCTCGGCTGCAGCAGATTATCGACTCTGATGTTCGATGCAGCCGAATACATACATGTTTGTATGTTTGTATGCTTGTGTGTACAGTAGAACGTCTTTAATGTGGGCTGCATCAAACGAAGAATTTCATTTCGGAATATCTGCACAATCCTGTCAATGCTTTACAGTAAGCACTCTTTAAACGAATACTTTTTTGGGGAATTGCGATATGGACAGTTTTGGTTCAATTAAACTCGTACTAGAAACGGAACAGTATTAAATCAAATTCTAATAACTATTAAGCTAAAAACAAAATAGCCTTAAATGAAGAACGCCAATGCTGAAAAGATTCTAATTGGAATTGAAGCTAATTAAGTTCAATTAAATAATCACTCTCTCTCCCTCTCTTGCTCCGCGTCGAATAAAATTCCTGTCGATTTGGGCTATTTCTCGCTCTTTTCACTCCTCATTTTCTCTCTCTTGATATATTTTTTACTCTATATCTAAATAAAACTTTTTAAGCCGCATATTTTAACTGTTTTCGGAGACTATATTTTAATGGACTTGTTTTGTCTTATGACATGTGTAAGACATATTTTAAACTTTTTACAACTCTTTTAAAAATGTGTCTAAGAAACACAAGAAGTTGACAGCTTAAACAGCTTACATAAAATATAAACCCTAATGCCCGATGTCTGGAATAACCAACTCAATATACTGTATATAAGTATATAAGCAGTATTTAGCATATAGTTAGTATACATATATGCATACATACACACTTATATAGCTGAGACATTATTGTGGCTATCAGAGCTGATTTTAAGTAAGATCTAGTATACATTCATTTTGTCGAAAGTCCTCGTCCTCTAGTTTAACTGTACCACAATGGACATCGACTGTAAAACAGATTTGTATGTGTGCATATGCTTACACATGTATCTAGATACATGCATGCATATGCATACATGCATACATGCATACATACATATTTATATAGCCTGTACTTTGTGTGGCAAAGAGCAAGAGAGACTGCCCCATCGTTTATTGCAGCGACTGCTTAAATGGAGCAACTGCGGGGCTGGAGCTGGAGCGACACAGTTACAGTTACATTTACTGTTACAGTTACAGTTACAGTTGCAGTTGCAGTTGCCGCTATAGTAACGGTTTAGCGTTAAGCGCTGCGACTGGCGATTTTTGGTTTGTTTATTTTCTGTTTTGTTTTTGTTTTTTTTTTTATTTTGGCAGCAGGTTCACAACGAACGCGGCATACGCTGCTCTTGAGGTTTGGGCAAATGGCCTGGACAACTGGCAATTGGCAATTGGCAACTGGCAACTGGCAACCGTGCAGCATGCCACATGGAGCGCTGCCATATCCGAGTTGTCCATGTGCCGCACGCAGCTGAGAGCAGAGCACTGGAAACGAGAGCAAAAGCAGTCAATGTTGTTGTTTTTGTTATTGTTGTTTTGGCTTTCGGTCAACCATTTGTTGTTGTTTTTGGTTTTTGTTTTCTTAGCAGTTTAGCGCCCGTTTTCGTGTCCCCGGTGCCAGTGTCCACGTACCAACATTGGCCTAATGTTGCACATTGTGTGCTGATCTTGTTTATTATGCAAGAAAGCTGCCAAAGTAAGCCAGCGACAACAGCAGCAGCAACAACAACAACAACAAGCACTGAACGCAACATACATGCAACCAAAGCACGAAAGAAAAGTAATTTACAATAAACTCGAAACTTTCATACTCTTTGCAGAGCTAATATATAAGAATCTCGAGAAGAAAAGACGATCCATTAAGTTACAGAATAAAATATACATTTAGACAGATAAGCGCTTAATGCTGTGCACCGTTAGCTAAAAGAACATAACATCAGGAAACATATGCTCATTCGGATTCTCACAAAACGACACACAAACATAATATATGTAGTTAGAGTAAAACGCCCTGTCAGAGCATTTCGTAACACCCATCAGGAAAACTAATTCACTTTCGTATTATATCATGCTCAGAAACTAAAACTAGATACACATGTAGATATTGGCAGAAAAGATTTATATGTTTGCTTTAATTAATTTCAGTACTTTCAGTACTTTCACGTGAATGGCGCATTGCACATACAAATGCCCAATTTAGGGTCGCGTTTAATAATATGCATATGAGAAAATACCTTTTGCAGTTGTTGTGCTCGCTGTTAATGGCTGCCCACTGTTTCACTTCACTTGATGCACACAACAAAAATAAATAAACAATCAACATACATATGTATATTATAATTTGGAATAAGAAACACGCACCGAACTCACATACATATAAAACCAAAATGAAAGGCAGCGCGTGCCAAGTTCGATCGTTGAATCGTTTTCAAAAGAACCCGCCAAACGCGAGTGCATAACCATTCAAAGCTGAACTGGACTACACAGCTACGGCTACTGTCTACTGTCTACTGTCTACTGTCTACTGTCTACTGCTACTGCTACTGGAGTGCCAGCAGACAACTGCGCGAGCAGCGCGCTGCGGGCTCTGCACAGCGCGCGTCGCTGCGGCAGCAAAATGGAAACGAAACGCGGCAGCATGGAAACGAAACGAAAGTGGGCGTCAGGCAGCGTGCGTCGCGTGTAGGCCTAAGGCATTTGGGAACAAACTGAAACTGGAACGGCAACTGGAACTGGAACTGGAACTAGTCTGAATGGTTCTGCGCTGGGGCGACATGCGGAACTGGGTCGGGTCAAAGGGTAGCATTTTGTTTTTAGCCAAACCTAGCAACTGTTCCGCTCGGGACTTGTTCAATTTGATCAGTATTTCGTTTTTTGTTTAACTCGTGTGTAAAAACTAGGAGTAAGGGAAATAACACAACATTAGCAAACAGGTAACTAAGTACTATCTAAATTAGTATTATCTAAACGAATGTGTTTTAGTCCATATCACCAACCATTCAACATGTTGCTATATCTACATGACTTGCCGTAGGCATTATTCGTATTCTTTTTGCATTTAACAATCAGAGATCGAAGATATTGTAAAATACTGTTTTGGATGTATTCACGTATTGAAAAACTTTGCAGAGGTGAACATTGCAGACTCAACTAGAGTCTTGTTTTATATTAAACATGTTCATGTACACCTGTCCCAATTTTTACCCTTCAAATAAAATAAGGCTGAATTATATGCACTTCGACTGAATGTATTTCACGAAAACCTTCATTCAATGCCACATTCGTGCTGATATTCATATCTAGCACGTATAAAGAATCATAATAAACGTTCCGCCGATTCTCAAGCATTCAATGCTCTTCCTGTCCAAATCGCCCCATTAGGAACACAGCGAAATACCTACTCGTAAATTTGCTATGCCACCTGCCACCAGCCATTTGTGTGGGGCAAGGTCAGCGACGAGTTGACAGCCCAAGTGGCCACCGGTGAGCATCGATGGTCGCGTGGATCGCCTTGATTGTTGCGGTTCAGTGCAACTGGCTCGGAAGTGATTCTCTTTGCTTAGCGTTATACTCTTCCATAAGGTATTACACTATACTTGCGAACGAGCCTTCGATTTGTGCAGGCATCTCGATTATATTATATCGGATAACTACATAACGCAATCAATCTTATATTAACTTGACTATATTATATCGAATAACTGCATAATGCTGTTTTCTATTAGCAAATGTGCAATGCCTAATTCTCCATATCTGATCAAAATCGAAGCCCTACATCATATAGTTGAGATGGAAACTATAAATCATCTTTAAAAACAGTTTGACCATATATTATATATTATATATTTATCTATAGCTGAGATAGATATTGCTGTCATGGGAATGTGAGCACGAGCTGACTAAACTCATACTTGAAGAGATCTTCGATAGGCTACCTATGAATTAACCTAAAGCTGTTTAATGAATCGGTCTGCAAGGGTATTCAATCTTCGGCTTGCGAAGATAGCCGTTCTTGTTTGTTCGTTTTGTTCGCATCGTCTGGCCCAAGTTGAGGTCGGAGCTTCCTCTGGGGGGGCACTGCGCAGCGTTGCAGAAAACTAACCGCTTGGGAGCACTGAGACGCCTTTGTACAAGACTGGCCTCAAGTCCGGCATAAATTAGATCGGCCGGCGATAGCACAGAAACTATGACTGGCAATCTGGCAGATCAATAAGTTTGAAATTTGCGCTGATATGTCTGATACTTAGTCTTCAAGCTATAATTAGTGAAAAATTAATCAGCTTACCTCAATCTGTGGCTGGAATTCGGCTTGGCTGCCCGTCTGGGATACCAGATCTAAAACAGGTTGTGTTCAATTATTATTTGGCCAGCGCCAAAACAACACATCACAAAAAAAACACACACACACACACAGTCACACACGCACACGACAAATATTCTTTTTTGGATTGAGCAAAAAGTGCACACAGCCTCAGCAAATTATTCGATTTGCATTATTCAAAACGTATATCATAAATCATGTGTGCGTTACAAAAACAAAACAAAAATGTTTCAAAATTCACCGCAAAAAAAAAGAGGAAGAAAAACAATATTTGAAACCGAAAAAATGAAAAAAAAAAAAAAAAAAACGTTGTCATCGACAAGAAATTAACAACATTTAACACTGGGCCATTAATTATACAAATAACTGTTGCTAGCGTTTAACAAATATCAAATTGCCAATGATGAGGGTACACGGCCATTAGGAGAGCTCGCAAATTAGCAATCGTGAATTGAATACACTCGTTTATTTGGGCTACCGGCGCAACGGATTCACTTGCTGTCAACTCTGCGACAGGCTCTTAAAATCACATTTGACACCTGCTCACTTTGACAGCGGGTCACTCAAGGGCTCCGCCAAACAGTCTGCAAGTTTATTCGGCGTTTCGAATTCGACTTGGCGCGCCAACCTCTGTGGATCTGTAGATTGATCAAATGATCAATTCGTCTGTTTAGTCTAGTCTCTCAGCTCTGCAGTGCGAGTTCACGTCAGCTCTGGCCGAATGCACAACACCGACTAACGCGCACGTTCCCCGTGTGATAAAGCCAAAGCTTTGCCGCAGCTGGCCGCGGAACAAGCGCATTGCGACTTAAGCTGCGATCACACTAGCACCAGCTACTTGGCATGTCAGTTGGGAAATAGCGTTTACCAAAACCGCTGCAAAATCAAAATATTCACATAGGACCCATGCAGAGGGTATTCGAATTTTGTGTCAAAATGTGTCATAGATGACATCTCCGACCCCAAAAAGCTAAAGCTGAGCTATTCCAGGCATAACTTCAAACATTGCCGAAAGTTTGGCTTAATCAATCGCCAAGAAAATTTGGTTCAAATTTGGTTATTTGAAACACTTTCTTGGATAGAAGTTGACCTAAACTCAGAATTTATCGCTACGTATGTCTATAAATGACATGATTTTCATTAATAACTCGCGACCAGGCGAAATGCTTAAGACTGCGACCATATGTCAGTCATGCTCTTTTACATTTGTTTTAACATTAACCAAAATCTTACTTTAATCGGTGCTAAAAAGTTAAATGGCATGTAGGAAAAAACAAACGATAAAACAACGCGTAAAGTAGGACAATAATCATTCAACTGTTGCCATATACGAATAGCTACATTAATCAAGCAAATTTATAGAACTTTCTTTCATCTTTTTCAGTCCCAATTAGATGAGCTGTCCAAATGATTCAATCAGGAGCCCGACTCGAAAGCTAATGTGTGGATATATTAATGTTTTAGCCTAATAACAATAGTAATGATTTAAGTAATAATAGCAATAATAGCAATAATAGTAATAATATATAGTAATAATAGCAACAATCGTAATAATAGTAATAATAATAATTATAACTTTATATTCGACAATTACTGGAATAATGATACTAATAATAAAAGTATTTCTTATAGGAATAAATGGATAATATTAATATGAAATTGTTTCTATTGAAGTTTTTTCATTGAACTGAGCTCGTCTGAACGCAGCTTTACCCTGACGACGCGCAACAAGTGGAAATGAAACGAATGTGAAATGTCTTTGCTGCATGCAAGAAGGAGAACACGGGCCGGGTGGGGCGGAGCAGGGGGCGGGCACATGTCTCAAATATGCTAATGATAAACAATCAACATTAAAACATTTAGTGAAATGTATTTGTTTTTGCCATGGGTAAGGTGGGCGCAAGGATATACAAATTTGCAACAACTTGTCCAACTAGCCCACAATTTATGCAAATCTGTTCATTATGAAACTTGGCAATCGTTAGGGGAAGAGTTATTGCAGGGGCAAAGACAGATAAATCTGTCCATATGCAAATGTGTTTCATTTGGAACCTGCGAAAGGTAAACGATCTTAGTGTAGAACAGAAGTGCATAGTTTCATTTTTAGCACACTAGACTCTTCTCATGGAATATAATCAAAATAGCTGGCTAATCAAGCGTTTGCAATTGTTTTTCCATAAACTAATTATTAACTTTGTTAAATAGTTGATCAATTTTGTTCGTCTTATTCAGTCTTTTTGGTTCAGCTTCAATGTGTTTCTTTGATCTCCTCCTGATCTCTACCATGCTTGTAGATGTATAATGATGTAGATTAAGTTAACATTGAGGTGCATTTATAATGGTTGGATATTTACAATAAAGGGTGTTTAGATGATGCCCCTCTTAGGTAGTTCGCAGGGTGCCTCTCTGTGATGGGGTCAGCCAGTATCCTAGCGATCGCGTTCGCTTGAAGAAGAGAAGTAAACCTGATCTCCGATCTTTGTGGGGCGGAGATCGCGTTGACTATTCTTAGTCGATGTAGCTGGTAAGTCGATGCCTGCCTAGTTTGTTTATTTGTTGAGCATCTTCCATTATATTTTATTTTTCCACTATAACTATAACAATTTTCCAGAATTATTATGACCCTGTTTTCTATGGGAAAAATCGACTCCACTAGTTTGTGATATTTGCTACATTTTCCAAGCGTACGAGAGTATATTAAATAATCATTAAATGTTGCAGTCAATTAACCAACTAAAGCTTTGGTTTCTGGCCATCATTTTTAAGTGGATTAATGCATTGTTCATATTTGCCATTGAATTAAATTCCTGCCCTGTCAACCATTTGTTACGTTCTAAGTTTAATTACAATTCCAAATGTGAACAAGTAAGAGGTTCTAGTCGGGAACTCCCGACTAGGGGATACCCTGAACCCTCTTCTTCGAACATCAAATGCATATATATATATTCTATTTTAGAAGCTAT